CAAGAGTATAATGAATAGTCATCCACAAATATTAGCAAATAACGATAGCCATCCATAGAAGGAACATGATATGATCCCCAAACATCAACATGAACAATATTAGAAACTAAAAAACATCTTTTATTAAATGCCTTATGAATGTGTACAATGTTTTCCAAGTTGACAACCTTCACACTCCAAATTGGACAATTAATTCAAATATCTTTGGAAACATAAAACACAAATAACTAAATGAAAAATGTCCTACCAATTATGCCAAAGCATAATCTAACCCACTAACTCTGACTCATTACTTCTACTACTAACACAATGACTCTAATGACTAGGAAGCACAATGAGAAGGTAAACTCTATTCACTTCACGACCACTCTCAATCATCATCTTTGACTCTAGATCCTACAAAACACAATAACCATAAGTAAAAATTACTTAACAATTCTAATTTTTTGCCAAACTACTCATAGATAAAAAGTTTGTACTCAATCTAAGAAAATATAGTACAAAAGGTCGGGTATTGGTATCAATTATTCTGATAAATCCCTTCCCAACAATGGGAACATGAGAGCTATTAGCTGTGAACACTATCTCTACCCAAGTAGAGGTGGTATAAGAAAAAAATGGTGGAAATATTAGTCATATCTTCTAAGGCAACTGAATCTATAATCTAGGGAAACCTATAGTGGAGGCATAATTAATTTGTAGTGGCATATGAACTACTAGTACGTGCAAATGAAGTAGAATGACTAGTGCTATTGGGCGACTTGCACCTTGCTATCCATGTGGTGTAGAGCTAGAATTTTTTGTACCTTTCTAACTCAAAAACTGCCCATATCTCTCTAACTCGGCCCTAACTATAGCTGTTGCAACTAACTCTGAAGAAGTTGTGGTATGTGGTCCAAATAAGTCACCGGTCACTTCCATATTAGCATTCCCTTTCTTGTTTCTAAATCAACTTGGTATAAAGTGTGGATGAAGCTTCTACAAGTATTTCTGGTATGTTTAGGCTTTTTATAGTAGTGACAAATTAAGTCCTTCTTGTCTTCCTTCCTGCCGTCACTACCACCCTTATCTCACCAGGCTTAGGCTTAATTGTGTTAACCATAGCAGACTACTCAAGGTTTAAGTTCCTCATCATCACATTCTCCCTACTCTCTTCTCTAGACATAAAGACATATGCCTGAGAAAGAGTTACACTATCACGGGAAAGAACATGCTATCATGTAATATCATACTTCGGGTTGAGTCCTATTAGAAACTCAAATGCTCTATTATTCTCTACCAACTGCTTATAAGTAGTTGCATCTTTACTACTTTCCTAAACCATTGTCTCCAAATAATCTATCTCCCGTCATAAGGTTTTGAAGGCTGAAAAATAAACTATACAAATTTATCTCCCTACCTAGTAGCAATCACCTAATTCCACAACTGTTAGGCCTAACAACATTCTCACTCTATTGTAAGTCTTAGCAACTCCATCCCAAAGGGGTGACATATGACAAATGACACTAAACTTAGAAAAAGTATAGGATGACACTAAACTTCAACAAGCACATCCATTCCATCTTGTTATCCTCTAAGCTACTTAGAAAATAAAAGTACAAAATGACACTAAACTTCAACAATAAACACATTCATTCCATCTTGTTCTCTCATTTGTCATCTTGTAGGGGACCCACCACGAATGGGGTGGGGATGGAAAAATTCTCATCCTCATTGGTGGAGACAAGGAGAGTGCTTCCTGCCCCATAGGACCCACCACGAATGTATATGTATACATGTATCTCTATATGTATCTATGTATATATATTAATAGTTTTAAAAATATGTTTGAATATATTTAGATCATTTTTAATAAGATTGTATATTTTAACTATATTTTTTAATTTTTAAATAAAATAAAAAACAAAAACAAAATGATTGACATCATAAAAAAATCACAAGGAGTGGGGATCCCCATCGGCCAATGTGGAGATGCGGATAACCTTGTTTCTACCAATAATAATGGGAACTGGGGACAGGGATGGAGATTAACTCCCCGTCCCCATCCCCACCCTACCCCACCCCATTGACATTCCTAGGCACATGCAAAGAGAAAGAGAATTAGAGGTAAGAAAGGTGGGGAAATTATTGAAAAAGGAAAAGGGAAAAAGTGCACTAGGTGTGGAAACCTATTATTATTATTATATATATATATATATAAGAAAGGAGAATAAGAAAAATAAGGTAATAGAAAGGTACAAGATAAATGCACATCCACCGCATGTATGGAGTTAGGCAAGTTGCAACAAAACTCCAAAAAATATGCTCATGGTAATTTCTAAGGGTGTGAGTATCGTGTCTTTCCGGCATCATAAACTTTTTCTCTCTAAATATCTATTCGCGTGGAAGTTTTGGAGAACAATGTGCAGTGCACCACTAATGCATTTCTTTTCATTAATCATTATTGAGAACAGGTGGCACAAAATGTCAATTCTCTCGGTAGCTTTGGCATTCCTTGTAATTTAATAAGAGTGCTTACATACTCGCTGATGTGGGATGGGAGACATTTAAATGATAGAAAATTTAAGTAAATAAATTAATATCTAAGACCTAATAAGTGATAGTGGTCCCCATCGAGATCATGCATGTTTGAAATCAATGCCGTTTCCTGAGAGGTATTTTTTTGAGAAAATGTGTTATATTGGCATATAGTTTTCTCATGAGTTTCTTTTGTTTTCCCGTTTGGAAAAATTGCTGCTATTATTATTATTGTCATATAGCCGTTTTTTCAGAAAACGGCACTAGTTTCTATTGATGTTTGGAATGGTTGAGGATAACACTGTCAATTCGCTTCTAAACCAAGGGGTAACCAAGGTGTCTAAGGTCCGAAGTGGCTGGGGACTGGTAGGTCGATCCTATAAAGATGAGAACATCAGAGACCCCAAGTGAGAATCTGAGGTGGAGGCTCCGATGGTTAAATTAGTAATAGGAGGAGTATTAGGTGGACAAAATCTAAGGTGTACATACTGTTCCAATCTTCACCTCCTATTTATACTTGAGGCCGCACAGTCATCCGAGGCAATCAGGTGACTCCGCAAAGCCCACCGAGTTCTCTTTCATGCGCCCTGATTGGTCTACTCTAAACTGCGCCACCTGACACGTGTAGGCGTGCGATACCACATGCGCCTCTCGAAAAAAAAAATAAAAAATTCAAATCAAATTAATCTTAACCCTCCATTGGAAGGCCCACTCAAGATCCTATTCCATCACAATCTTCTTGCTTATCCGCAGATATCAATATACTATGTAATTTATCCGCAGATATAAATACTAAGAGGTCTCTTTCTCTATGTACTTGGCTTGTCTTTGAGTGGATGTACATAAAACAGACTTTTTAGAGAAGTGTTAATTTTTAATATTTGGTTGCTAATAAAGTATTAAATAGTGAAGAATGGGACAAATTGGCTTACCTCAGGATTTACGCATTGGGAATAGGCAGATATTCATTTTACTAAGTTTCTTGGATGAGACCGGTGGACTTTACTTTTAAAGTTTTTGTTATTAGGGAAACAATTTTGGCTGTCTAGGTTGACAGCCTCCGCTATCCATACATTAGTTCATGTGATGGAACTTTATATGAATGGACAAATGTGGGTCGAGACTCTTTTTTAAGTCAATTCTCGTATAATAACTTTTTGGGCAAATGGCATTTTTAGCCCCTCCAAAAAATTTTACATTCCAATACTTTGTCTCCTTCCCGTTAATTGGATTGGTGGAAAATTGTCATTTTCAAAATTCATATGGGTGAGAGAGGACATTTCAAATCACAAAAATAAGGGGTTTTATACAAATATGTAAGATAATTACCAAATGATCCTCTAAATTAAGAATAGGGTATATTGGGGATTTAGAATTGTTTAATAAATACATAATAATCATATAAACAATCTTTTTCAAAGCAAACCAACTATATGCTAATGGAGACCAGTTATGGATGCTATGCACCATTAATAACTTTTCCCCGACCCCTTTTTTCTAAAATACTGATTGTGGGATTTAATTTTATACCAATAAGGAAACAAACCAGCTGACACACTAACCAGTCAGCCCTTCGTTGGTTCCAGGATTTGGGGGTTTAAGAATGCGAGGGATGGGCTACCCTGTTTTGTAAGTTTATATGGTTCGGCCATTTTCTTTTATAACTAAGGGGTTGTTTGGTAGTGTGTTATAAGGAAAAATATCATGGCTTACTTCCTTCTTTTTTTTTTTGTAATAATCAATTTATGATGGGTGCATAAATGAGTTAAATCTGCACCTCACAAGGGGCGCCCCTATTGGAAATATTTCCCTTTGAAAAGTACAGAAGATAATGGGATATCATGGGGAGATATTTCCAATACAAGGCCAGGATGTGTTGTGGGGCATTCTGGGGTGTTCTCTTGTGAGGCGCAGATGTAAACTTTGCATAAATAGTAAGGTTTTTAAAATTAATAGTTCGAACTAAATAGATGATTCATTCTAATAAAAAATAAAAAACATTAAAAAACCGTTAAATGATTCAAACGGTTCAACCACACAGGTCAGTGATTTGAACCGATTAGATGACCGGTTCCTAATTTTTTCGATCCGACCGTCCGATGCACAAATACAAATTTATACTTGCACTCTTCCCAAAGGCCTAAACATAATTATGTTTCCTTACAAATATCTTGCGCTGGTCCAAATACATTTTTCTCGTAGCCAAAAAAAATACTACCATTTATTGCGGGTGTATACTTTACTCTAACCGTACCGTTCGATCGGAATCTACACCGTTGATTGGAATGATCATGTCCCCCGGATTGTCCGACATTGCAAGGTAGGCAGCGTAGTGGACTGACTCGTGTGAAGTGGGACCCACGTCGAGGTCACGGAAACATCGGGTCCGACTCCGAACGACGCGCACATGAGACATGACGGCTGGTTAAAAATTATTTATCCAAATTGGGACCCAAATGCCCTTATAAATCCCGGAAAACGGACCACCCGACTCGCCAAATTTGCAGCAGCGTTTCGAGAGAGCGTYGTTCGTTGTTCCAAGAAAGAATTCATGGCGACTGCTTCTGCAAAATCCCTTCTCGTTCCTCGCGTTGAAACTAGTACTCTCTCTTCAACGAGAGCTGATTCTGCTGCTGCTGCTGCTACTTCTCTTCAATTTCTCAAGTCCACTCCGTCGCTTCCGTTGAAGCTCTCTCACTCTCGCTCTTGCTTTCGTTCCCGATCTCCGTCTCTCGTTATCACCAACGTTTTAAAAACCCAAGACTCTCTCAGCACCTCCCTCTCCCAGGGCCGAGATCTCGAGACCGGGTCGAGGTTGGGAATGAAGCCAACGATCCTCGTCTCCGAGAAACTCGGAGAAGCGGGGCTCGAGGTGCTCAGAGGCTTTGCTAACGTGGATTGCTCGTATGATCTGTCGCCCGAGGAACTCTGCCAGAAAATTTCGCTCTGTGACGCGTTGATTGTGAGGAGTGGGACGAAGGTGACGAGGGAGGTCTTCGAGGCTGCCAAGGGAAGGTTGAAAGTGGTCGGAAGGGCCGGAGTTGGGATTGACAATGTCGATCTGCAGGCTGCAACGGAGTTTGGATGTCTTGTCGTGAATGCTCCCACGGCCAACACTGTTGCTGCTGCCGAGCATGGGATCGCTCTGCTTGCTGCCATGACTCGTAATGTTGCTCAGGCTGATGCCTCCATGAAAGCTGGTAAGAACTACTTTTTTTTCCTTCTTTATTTCCGTACGCCGTTATACAAACTTTCCTGATCTGGATTTGCTATTTTAGCTTCGAGGCTTAAAATCTGTAGATCTGTTTTTTCCGAATGCGAAATTTTGATTTTGAAAAGTGTGTCAAGCGGTAGAATTTATGTTTTACTTTTCTTTCGGTCTACGCAATCGGAAATGAAAATTCTGTGTTAATCCGCATTACAGTTCTAAGAATTGCTTTGAAACGTTAAGAAGAACGGATTAATTCCCAGGTTTAAGTGAACTAATCAAGTTGTACTATGATCTTTAATTCCTTTCCTTGTCCGATCAAATTAAATTTACTTGGGCTGCAATTGTTGATGCTGCTTGGTTCCCGGCGGTTGATGTTCAGTCCAGTCCAGTCCAGTCTCATCGGATTCCTACGTTTTCGGTTGTTTGTCCGTATTTTTATTGAAATTAAACTTCTAACCTTTTTCTTTTATGGATATATTAAATGTTAAAAGAGTAAACTAATATTAAATATCTGAGGTATCTTTCTTTCCTTCTTTTTATGTTAATTATTGCTGAAATATTTTAATGGGTGGGTCGTGTCTCTTAGTTTTATGGGTGGGATCATGTTTTATTTTGTTTATTATTGCTGAAATATTTATACGGGAAATGGTTGGATTATATTGTTATATAGCTGAGTTATTTAATTGGGTAGATTCCTATGTGATTCTTTGGAAAACATGAATATGGTATACAGGAGAGCAGGGACCATTTATTGTTCTTTTCCAGGGAACACCCCTGTCAATAAAATGGGTAAATCAGATAATTTTAACCTGCAGGGTTTTTTTTTTTCCTGAATAGTTTGAACTTTCTTGAACGGTGAAAAAGATTCATGGTTGCCTTAGTAAAAATTCTAAGCATGTCTGCCTCGCTTTGGGCTCTGTTTCTATATGTTCCATTTGTGTCTTTGGATCTGCCCCCGTCTCATGTGTTGTAAGAAAAGAATTTGGAGGTACTTCAATTCAGTTTCTTCAGAATTGCTGCATCAATCTATGATATCTGGATACCTCTGTACGAGGGTTCTATGTCTGATACTTCATTTTTTTGGTATAAATTTCACATCCAATATCGTATCAAATCTTACCCTTGCCATATTCTGGTAACATGGGGCATCAATTTGTCAAATTAACAATTGCATGGATTAACTTTTCTTTTCCCATCTTTTTCCTTACTGGAGTTTTTCTATTTCAAGATTTTTCATCATTGCTGATGTTATCAGAAATTTAATACTCCAAAGATGCACCACTTAGTCAATAATGGTACCTATTTAGTCCTTTCGTGATATTGTATTGAAGAAAAAAGAGTTAATAGTTTAAAAATCTTCCAATGAATTCCTTCGAAATATAAAATAACAGATCTTAAATCACTGTGAAGCTCTTAGGTATTTTAATTGTTAGGTCGAACACTTCTTTATTCTCTTCCTCTACGTCGTTAATGTTTTATATAATAAGCTTTTTGCTATTGATGCTAAAAGTGTATCTTTTTATTTTTAAATTAAAGATGCCTTGTCTGGAAAGATATACTATGATTTTACTTACTTGCCAACAATGTTTTAATATAAATGCACATGGTTTGCTGATTATGGTCACATGTTCTTGGAGATATGTTCAGAAAACTGTCACTGTTTCATGAACTGAGACATGTTCGTTGTCTGACTATCATGTGGATATTTCTATCTTTGCATCAATATAACATGCTTTGAGGGTGGGCCTTGGCACAACGATTGGGTTGCTCCATTGCAACCTGGATGACCAGGGTTCAAATCTTGGAAACAGCCTCTCTGTAGATTAGGGGTAAGGCTGTGTCCATCTGTCCCTCCCCAGATCCTGCATTGGCATGAGCCTTGTGCACTGGGATGCCCATCTATGTAACTTGATTTCATTAATTCTTGACTTCTTAGCCTGACAGAGATGTTTCTAAATGAACTATAAGAGTATAACGATGCATCATGCATCTTCATTTTCCTTCACCTTTTGCTATTGCCCTGCTTAGATTATGGCTTTTAGCAACTTGAGCAAATAACTTTGCCTAAATAATTTAACTTTGCTTTAAATATGTAACTCCGAATACTAGACGCTAAAGACAATATTCATTCTTTTTGCAGGAAAATGGCAACGGAGCAAGTATGTTGGTGTCTCTCTGGTTGGAAAAACACTGGCAGTTATGGGGTTTGGAAAGGTTGGATCTGAGGTTGCCAGACGTGCAAAAGGCTTGGGAATGCATGTTGTTTCACATGATCCATATGCCCCAGCTGATAGAGCGCGTGCTATTGGTGTGGATCTCGTTTCTTTTGATGAGGCCATTTCCACTGCAGATTTTATTTCCCTCCATATGCCACTCACTCCTGCTACTTCAAAGTTATTCAATGATGAAACTTTTTCAAAGGTGAAGAAGGGAGTTCGCATCATTAATGTTGCTAGGGGTGGTGTTATAGATGAAGATGCACTAGTCAGGGCACTTGATAATGGAGTTGTTGCCCAGGTATGCTTCTTACAATCCTTAATACTAGTTAATGAGTAATATACCTTGGAATGGAAAGATGCTATAGATCTTGTCTAACTGCATGTCCATAGGTCTAACAGAAGAGAGGTTAGTTAAGGTCAGTGACCCATTTCCTCCTTTCTTCTCCATACCTTTTTGAACCACTGAAATGAACGTGAGATATAGGATGGAGATGATTGTATGATATGGTGAAGTCAATTCTTAGCCCAGTCTACCTAATGGGAGCCATCGTTTCCCACTGTGTTGACATAAAGGTGCAACTTGGGCTGCATTGGGTCAGGTTGAGGTCAAGTGGAAAGGATAACTAAACCCTAACTTCATCGAACATGACCCTCAACAAAGATGGGCCCAACCCAACCTAAGAATACGTAATAACCCTAACCCAACCTCAGTAACCTGACTTTCATAATTAGTTTGGTTAGCCCGGTAATTGTATGACAAAAACCTCAATAATATGTTTGTAATTTGACCATTTTAGGTCTCATTAAAGCTACAATTGCATACACTGCTAATATTTAGTAGGGCATAATAGTTTATAATAATACATGAATATGTAATAAAACCCAACCCAGCCCAAAATCAGGTTGGATCAGTTGGGTTTTGGGTTAATTCATGCCAATTTGCAACCCCATGTTCTGTTTTTATGTGCATAATCTTCTTTGGTTTAATTGATATGTGAGATTCATGTTTATTAATTCCAAGTGGTGGTTTTGATGAAGTGCAGGCAGCACTTGATGTTTTCTGCGAGGAACCCCCTCCCAAAGACAGCAAGTTAGTGCAGCATGAGAATGTCACAGTGACACCTCACCTTGGAGCTAGCACAAAGGAAGCTCAGGTATAAATTTTTTCAGACAGAATTCTTATACAATTCCTTCTCTCCTTGCTTTATGCCGTCTTGACATTGTTTCAATTCTTAAGACTAACAAGTCTTTTTGCAGGAAGGTGTAGCCATTGAAATAGCAGAGGCTGTAGTTGGAGCATTAAGAGGAGAACTCTCTGCAACTGCAGTGAATGCTCCAATGGTTCCTCAGGAGGTAAAGAATGCCAGAGCTTTTTTATCCTCTTTGGTCATTCTATTTTGTTTCTCTTTTTTTCTTTTTGATTTGCTTCTCCATGTGCACATGTATTCTGGAGTGTGTGGGCGGCGGCCTACTTCCATTTTCTATGCTAACTCCTTGGATGTTGTCCTTATTCTTAGGTATTGTCTGAGCTGGCTCCTTATGTCATGCTTGCTGAGAAACTTGGTAGGCTGGCTGTGCAGTTGGTGGCTGGAGGAAGTGGCATTCAATCTGTCAAGGTGGTATACAGGTCAGCACGAGATCCAGATGACCTGGATACCAGACTTCTCCGAGCCATGATCACTAAAGGCATCATTGAGCCAATATCTAGCACATTTATCAACCTCGTCAATGCTGATTTCACAGCCAAGCAGAAAGGACTCCGAATCAGTGAGGAACGGGTGTTTGTTGATGGTTCCCCCGGGAGTCCAGTTGACTCAATCCAGATACACATTTCCAATGTGCAATCCAAATTTGCAAGTGCTCTGCTGGATAATGGTGAGATATGCGTTGAAGGGAGAGTGAAATATGGTGTTCCTCACCTCACATGTGTGGGAGCATTCAATGTAGATGTGAGCCTTGATGGCAACCTCATTCTCTGCAGGCAGGTGGACCAGCCTGGTATGATTGGAAAGGTTGGGAGCATCCTTGGTGAGCAAAATGTCAATGTGAGCTTCATGAGTGTTGGTAGGACAATGCCAAAGAAGCAGGCTATCATGGCAATTGGTGTGGATGAGGAACCCGATAAGGAAACTCTCAAGATGATCGGGCTGGTCCCATCCATTGAAGAGTTCGTGTTCCTCAATCTATAGTGTAAGGTGAAGGCTATCAGCGTTTTTTCATAAGTTCCTGCCCTGTTTTGCAGTGGGTCAGCTACGAAAGCAAAATCAAATGCTGGCTACTAACAAGGAAGCATCAAGGTCTGTGTTTCTTCCTGTATATTGACAGAGCATAAGTCTCCTATTGGTCTCATTTAGTGTACTTTGCGTAGCTCTGCTGTGTAATGCCTAAGAGCTAGGGTATTTTTCTGTTATTCTGTAGTCAGGAGGTGGCATTGCTTTAAAAGTTGGTAAATCCTTGTTGCGCTTGTCTGCTTGTTAGGTGTTCTTCGAACTCCTAGCTTCTTTGTGAGGCTTCCTTGTGTGATTCAAGAACAAGAATGAACACGTTTATTGGGGTAAAATCCAGGTGTGTGTACCCTTGTGTGATGTTAAATGAATCAAGAATTTGTGCAACTGTAGTCCATAAACTGAGCTTTCAAAGTTTTACCATGTGATTGATGCTAAGGCTGTGCTGTGTACAAGTTTGAATCGAATGCATAGGAGGGCGATTGGATTGGGTGGGTGTAAATTCTGATCTACTTTTATTTCAGGTTTGACTTTGGTTTGCAAGTAAAATGATGGTAATCCCCAAACAAAAGCAGGTGGAAGATTGTTTATTTGGGAGGGAGTAAAATAGTGTGATTTCCACTTGAGAATAAAGAGGTAGATCAACGTAGGAACAAGGTAGTGCAATTTTTAAATCATTTTTTTAGGATGTAAAATTTGCACCAGGTAAATTTTACCTGGGTTACTTCTGGCCCGTGAACTAGGTGTTTCTCACATTCATCTTGAAGGAGATGCTCAGAAGGTAATCAGTCTTTCGTCGGACGTCAGTCTTGACACTCAGTGGTGACCGACTGCAGGGACCTGAATTCTTTTGATCATTATATCATCTCCTTCACTCGTACAGGCAATCAGGCAGCTCATTTTGTCTCTAAATTTGGTTGTTCTATCTTTAGGACTATCACTTGGTCTCACCCTCCTGATTTTCTCAAACCTGTATTGGATGTTGATTTGATCCATTGCCTTGTTTTGGCTTCAAAAAAAAAGGTAAAACTAAAGTGTAAATGAGTCATAATGATAAAGAACAACAGAATAACAGAAGTTCAGAAAATGGCTTGTCCGATGATTAGTAGATCGAGAGCCTGGTAAGTATATTCGGTAGTAGTTTTACATGAATCAGAACTCTAAGATGCTTATGTACCAGTTAGGAAACCAAAAAGGATAAGATACTTTATCCTCTAGTACGCTGCCCCAAGGGAAATGGCTTTCAAGTACATGAAGCTTGCGAAAAGGAACATGGAACCAAGAACTTTTAAGAGGTTTGGTCAATATTATCAATAACCTGATCTCCTGAAGAGATGAACTGAACCCGCAGAGACCGGCTAAGCACCAATTACGGAAGAAATGAAAATCATCATCAATATGTCGATTTTTAGCATGGAAGACTATGTGAGATGCCAAATATGTCTCTCCTATATTATCACACCAAATGAGAGGAGAAGTAGAAAGAGTAATCCCATGATCAGCAATCAATGATTTAATCCACAAGACTTCTATAGCTGTATTTGCGTAGGGGTGGAATTCAAATTCTATACTAGACCACACCAATGTCACTTGTTTCTTAGAACTTGGCGCAGTATGGAAATGAAACATGTTGAGAAAAGCTTCAAACAAAAGAGTAGAAGTCGAACTACTAGGAAGAAGAATTCTTCACTGAATAATTAAGAAAAAATTCAATATCAAAAATTGTCTTAGCCTTCTCTTAGCTACTCTTTATATAAACATACACCCTTATGGCTCATATTCCTAATTTGAAAACACTCCATATATAATAGAATCCTATTAAAACTCCACAAAAAAAAAGTCTTAATTGAGCAACTTAATCTAAGAAAAAACTCCATAATAGAATCCTACTAAAACCGTTCAAAAGGAAAGTCCTAATTGAATATAAATTCAAAATCTCGCTATAATGCTAACTTGGTAAAACAAACTAAAATAGAAACTCGGTGATGGCGTCAACTTGGTAAAAACGAACTAAAATAGAAATTCTGTGATGATGCTATATCAATAAATATTTGCTAAGTTGGGCTGGCGGCGTCACCTCTACTTCTTCTGTGTCTTCGAATAGTCCCAACTTGCACAAATCTTATTGGCCTTCTCCTGTACTGCACCATCCTCTCCATGTTAGACAATGTATACCCTTAACTCCAATTAGAATGAGGTACAATATGGCATTTAATGTAAATAAATAAAGTACATATTTGATTCATGTTATTATGGTGTTTTCTGTGTAATACCCTTAAACTGGACACTATGAGACTCGTGTTAGTTTAAAATCTTCACAATCGTTGGATAGATTTGGAAAGATTTATCCTACTAAGGCTAACACTAATGTGCCGCCAAGTTGGTTGGGRTGGCTTGTCTCAGCTGCCAAGGTGAGACATGAGGTACATGCAGTGTAGGTTTTCTTGAAACCCTGAATTGGACCAAATTTCCAGTATTGCCCTGGACCTTGGAGATAGATGGGCAAAACAAGAATGTTTTACCTGACCCCTAGACTCGATTATGATACTATACTAGGTGTCGAATTGGGTTGTCTTTGATATGCCAATCAGTGAGATCCTTAAAGGGGGTTAAAACCTAGGTATGTTGGGACAGTCTGAGAATTCATCTGAGTGGGCGATCATAGTGATAGGACTAGCCCCTTTGTCGGACAAAGTGAATGATCGGGGATGCACTCTCTTTGATGGAAACCTAAACTATCAGCAGTTGATTTCAACCATTGAAATTTGTTTGGAAAATATATTTATATAGAGATATACATATATATTATGGTTTCAAAATGTTTGCAAAATGTTTTAATTCCCGGGATCCATGTGAGTAGAGAGTGCAGCATTGTACCTTGCAGCCAAGGGAGAGGTCCTCTCTTGTCGGGAAGTGTTTGATCATTATGGGCTAAGAGGTTAAGTGTAAGACCATTAAGGGTAATACTTGATGGGCTAATCTTGCATTTGCCCACAGTCCTTGGGTTTTTATAAGATGGCTTAACCCAAGGACCATTTAGTGTAAATGTTGGGTCCATTAAGAGCCTATGGTGATGGGCTCAGGGGTTCACTGTCTCCTATAGTGAATTCGGCCAGGCCTTGTAACAGAGGCTGGGTTGAACCCATGTGGTTGATGTGTAGATTAATGTTTGGGTCCCACGCCATATAAGGATAACCAACTGGGTAGCAAATTGAGGGGCTAGTGAGCACATAGAGTTAATGGGCCTAAAGCCCAATTCGAACTAACTTAATAAGATTAATTAAAAGATGGCGGTTCTAGGATTTARATAAGCAGAGAGGATAAGAGATTATCCCTATCCACTCAAAGAATCCAGATCCAAATAAAGATTTGGATAAGGAAACTCATAATTTGATTAGGAGGCTGATCTTTATCTGCAGATAAGATAAGGGATTATCCTTATCTCTTAAAAAGAGTCAATATCCGAATACAAGATTTGGATTAGGAAACTCCTAATGGTATTAGGAGATGCTCTCTTTAAAGGCTATGAATAGAGGAGCAGGGAGAACCTCCAAGACAACAACAATTCTCAGTTCATAGATTACAAAGAGAGAATAATCTGCAATTTGACTGCTCCTGTCTTCTGCTCTTTCCTGCTCTTGTCGCCACTGTCAATTCGATCTCCACCTGTGGGAGTGATCAAGAAAGGTTCTTGATATTACCTTTTGGTAAAAAAGGTAATCTGAAGTCGTGCTCACCAGCCCTCCATCACATTCTTGTTGAAGAATTTGGTTCTTGCTGAAGAATTTGGTTCTTGCTGAAGAGCCATCCTGTTGATTCTACTCCACCTCATACTGTGTCATCTTCAGTGGGAGCAATCTTTGATTTTCTCGTTGGGCGTAAACACCTTCGTTGGGAGTTACTGTTACTCCGTATCAGGTATATCCCTCTCCTACCTTTTGGTTTCAGATCTGGYCCGATTTGGTTTCAAGATTGATCATTGAAAATGCAGTTTTTTTTTTTTTAAATAGGGAATGTGATTCCCACATGGGAGAGAATTTTTTTGAAATTTCGCCCAACCTTCCTGTAGGGTTTGGCCATCCATATAATGAATCTTTCATCTCTTCAGTGGTATCAGAGCCAGGTTCAAATCTTGAACCAAAATTAACCAGATCTGGATTTGCGCAAATGGGCAGAAGGCGTTCTACCTGATTTGCGCATATTAGCGTTTTTTGGGAAATTTGTTCCCATCTTTTGGGTGATTGATCTAAAATTAAATATTTATAAATCTAATTTATATTTAGAATTGTTCTATATATTTTTTTTTGAATTTTGGGTTGTTTGTACGGTGGAGATCGAATTCTTTAATGGCACAAGAAATTTGCGCACCTGTTGTTCTTTTCATTCTTGGTCTGTAAATAATTTTTTTTTAATTTTTAGACGGAATGTATAGGAATTCAATTATGATGTAATATTAATAAAAAATAGGTTTTTCTATTTTATTCCATTTAAAGTTGAAGCAGATTGCACAGAGGAGAAGTTTTCACAAATATGGGTTCAACCATCTACGAATTGCAGTTTTGGAAACTGCATGCTGCGATCTAATTTTTGTTTCGCAGGGTAGCAGTCCTACGAGCATCCCTCCTACTGATTCTTGATTGTCTTGTATTAGTTATTTAATTTCAGATCATCATTCTTGAATTAAAAATCAAACCCTAGAACCATTCGAACCAGATTGGACCAAACTGGTTGTACCGAATCTATGGTTCGATGGGGGCTGTTTACAGCCCTAAAATTTCACATATGGGTCCAGGAGTTGATGGATAATTCCAAGATGCAATTCAGCCCATATCTGTAAAACCCAGTTTTAATATGTTAAAACTGCTTTAGCCCATTTCAGCATAAAAGCTATATGGGCCGAACTGCTCTTTGTAGTTCAACCCATATACCTAGATAGTATTAATTAGTAATATTATGAATTTATATGGGCTTTAATTATGGGTTTTACAGTTATTTAATTGATTGGATCAATTGTGATTTTCATGCATGTGATGTATGGATGTGTGATGTGCAACGTTCTTGGGCCATAAGTACTTAGCCCATGCTGAATCGAATAAGTGGCTCTTACGCACACCATGGCTGAATGCACATCATTGCCACGGTGTCCTTAAGATCATTCGATGATCTTCCATCATGGTGGGCCCCACACCAGCTTTCTCCCCAAGGGGAATCGTGCGAAACCCTAGCCGTTTAGGGCCCATCTAAATCTGGCTTTATGAAAGTCAGTGGGAGCCATTTTGGTTTGACCTAAATTAAACTAGGGCGTAATATTTCGTTCCCTCAACTGAAATATGAGTGCATGTGATATGGAGATTCATATGATGAACTCTTTAAAGGCCTTCAATCATTAACATTAAGATGGGTCCTTCAGTAATGAGGAA